GAAAAATTCATGCATAGAGTATTGCAGATGGCGCTACAGTATTTTTTATTTTTTTTTTGCAGTAGGTAGATTCTGCTGTTTAAATTTAACGAAAAAACTCAACTCATTATCTAAACGAAAAGACTTTTCGTGCACAATAAAAACAACAGATTCATTGCGAGATTGCTAATTTAAAGTACAGCAGGAAGACACACGTTTTTATTATAAATCCAGTTTTCTAGTAGAGCTGAAAACAAAACTAAAACCATATCATACAGAATTCAGGAATGTTATAAAACTTTTCTTTTTTTTTCCGTGTTTGTGTTCACTAAAAACAAATGAGATGTATATAGCTAAATCAGTCACGCGTGAAAATGTTAGTCTTGGTTAGTCCAGTTAGATATCTATAGCTGAATCGGTCACACGTAGAAATGTTAGTTTAGTTAAATGTCTATAGCTAAATTAGTCACAATGTGAAAATACTAGTGTCTTTGTTACTCCAGTTCAACGTTGATATCAAACGAAAATTCGAGCTAGAATCTAAATCTATTGATTTGTATATCTAAACCAAAACCATTATTTGACAAAACTCTCTCTGTGTGTGCGCGCGCTTATTACCGGCAAACCGCTGGACCAAATGTTACCAAACCTAGCATGTACCCTCAGGGGCTCCCACGGGGAGAAAAGTGGTATGATTTGGATATGACAACGGAACCTTTTGATGTCACCAGAAAGAGCATGACTGGACGTAGCGACATGAACTGTAACGACGTGGTGAGGCTCCAGAATTGTTTTAATATGGGGCTTGTGTTGATCTTGCTGTAGAGCTGTGGATTTCGGAGATGACAAGCCGAATTCGAGTCTGTATGAAACCACAAAATATTCCTCGTGCTTTAAGCTCTAGTTGTAGTATAAGAGTGACAGCCAATCACCTTACGCTGTAATATAACTCTATATTCAACGCTTTCTATTGGTTCCCACAGAATTTGGATCGTTACACGTTCGACACGCGTTTTTGGTATTTTTGTTAATTTGTATTAAACCTCTTTCGACGAGAATAACAAGAAGTTACTTTGTAAAGTTAGCTAAATCTTAGCATTGAAAAATCAAAGACTTGCGTAAAGAAATCATTGTACTTTTGTCTGCTGTTACCTTAGGAAGAAATATAAATAAAACACACTAATTAAATTAAATTAACTAAATTAAAGCTAAAGTTTCATTTAAAGTTGTAGCGGATCATCCAGTGAACGAGGAAGAGAAGCGGAGAGGGATTGTAAGCACTCCTTCAAAGACGGAGCCTTTAAAATTGAGATTGGTTTGTTCCGAATATCGCGCACAGCTATACAATCTGCGTAAGCCATCCCTAATTTAGCAGCGGTATATTAGAGGGAGGGCGGCTAGTCAACACCCCACCCCCCAATTCCAGGGCTGAAAAGGCGACCGTGTTCCGTAACGGGGATTCGAACCCATGACTTTCACATTGTGAGTCGACAGCCCAAACCACCACGCTATTAAAACTGAGACGAGCACGAGGCAATGGAAATGAATTGAGTTCCGCTTATCAACTTTGACAGAAAGAAAAAGTACATGCTTTTCTTACAAAAACAAAAAGCCACTATTAAATCAATGGTTTTAGATATTAACTAGCAATAACCTTGAAGAATACAAACAATTAAGGAAAAAAAGTAATGATGGTTGCAAAAGTTATAAATATCATTATAGTTTGCTCGGAACACGTTTTTTAATATACGTTTTTGTTTCTACCAATTTTTCTAATCATCTTTTCATTTTCTGATAAAGGGCCCGGCATGGCCAGGTGGATAAGGCGCTCGACTCACAATCCGAGGGTCGCGGGTTCGAATCCGCATA